GTTTCAGGTGGGAAAAGATGGGTTTTACAGTTTCTGTATTTGTTCAATTATAGGGATCTCATAATAGAAATTGGCCTTTGAATTTGAGACTTTATATAGCCATGAAGACTAGCAGTCTTGCCCTCTGTTAAATTTGGCAAACCTCATAAACAGACTCTATCCTTGCAATATTCAGCTGGGGTCTATTTAATAGCTGTTAAGATTTTAACTTTCAAAATGCATACTTTTGCTTTTTTTAAAAAAATGATAGCACAACTGCATTCCTTTTTCCTTGTCAGATATTCACTAGAATCTCTTGTAATTTCATCTGCCATCTCAGCAGGTTAAAGTCAAGAAGGCAAACTTTAATTTCTGCCATTTTAGGTAGAATCTGTTTTTATTTCCTCATTTTCTTAACAACAATTTGAATCAGTCAATTGGTGAAGTGGAACGTGTTCTGCCTATAGGAACATGGGAGAGACAGGAGGTTAATGCCTTTCAAATTCTGGTGCCTTCTTTGGTAATTGCCCCCAAAGACAGCAACAGTTTGTTTTAGCTACACAGCAAAGTAAAGAAGACACACAAACTTCAATGGGTCTTGTTTTAGCAGTCTCAACAAGCTTTCCATTGCTGCTCTTTATCCAGATAATCCTTTCTCTGGGTACCAACCAGTAACTGCAGGAGCAAAAAGCAAGGCCTATTAATTGAGAATTTAGGTGTAGGTCAGACTGCTAGTAACCATAGCAGTTAGGGTGTGTCTACACTGTAGAATTAATCCAGTTTCACACCATTTTAATTGTCATGATACAGTGCTATGGAATCCTGGAATGTGCAGTTTGGTGAGGCACTAGCACTCTTTGTCAAAGAAGGCTAAATAACCTTGTATGATTCCACACCATTGAACAATGGCAAGTAAGTGGTGTCAAACTGCATTAAATCTACACTGTAGGTTCACACCTACAGACCACCTTAACTACCATAATTCCGTCCTTCACAATCCTGGGATTTTTAGTTTGTTGTGGCACCACATCTCTCAGGCAGAGAAGGCTATATCTCACAAAACTTAAGAACCCAAAAAATCAAGTTAGAGGTTATAAAATTTCTTTATTTCTGCCCTAGTTGCCTGTGACGTACTTAGTTAATTTTTGAAAGAATTTTAGCCCACCTTCACCAGAAATGGCTTTCAGAATTGTTTGTAAGAGATCAATATCAAATGAAGACATTCTCCCTACAGCAGTCATGGGCAAATTTCTAATTCAGGTGCCACATGGTGGTTGGAGCGCGGTGGGTGGGCTGGGAGGGAGGGGGAAAGATGGGAAATGTTTGGATCCCAAAAGGTTTGGCCTTGGTCAGGATGAGATGGTGGGTGGAAGAGAAAAAGTGTATCTATTAGACCTCATACTGCCTACTCCTGATATAGAATTCTAGAGCTGGAAGAGATCCCCAAGGGCTATCCTGTCCAACACCCTTCCATGCAGGAAGGCACAATCAAAGCACTCCCGATAGACAGCCTCTGCAAAAACAAAAGCCTCCAGAGAAGGAGAGTCCACCACACAGCCAGGCAGCCTATGCCACTATCCAGGAAGTTCTTCCTAATTTTTCCATTGAATCTCTTTCCCTGCCATTTGAACCCATTGCTCCCTTGTGCCCTGGTCTCTAGAGCAGCAGAAAGAAAGTCACCCCCCACCCCTCAATGGGACACCCTTTAAAATCTTGAAACATGGTTCTCATGTTCCCTCTCTACCCTTTCTTCTCCCAGCTAAACATCCCCAAGGAGGAAAGGAGGAAGAAAAAAGAGAAGGATGGAGGGAAGGGAGAAAGGAAAGAGAGAAGGAAGGAAAGACAAAAGGGAAGGAAGGAAAAAAGGGAAGGAGGGAGGAAGGAAGGATGAAAGGGTGGAAGGGAAGGATGGAAGGAGAAAGAGGAGGTAAGGAAGGAAGGGAAGCGGAGGATGGAAGGAGGAACGAAAGAAAGAGGAAGGAAAGACAGGATAGTGGGAGAAAGGAGGGCCTGAGAAAAAGCCCAAGGGGTCATATGTGCCCCCCCTCCGGCCCGAGTTTGCCCATACCTGCCCTACAGGCTTACAGTCTGAAAGAAAAGGGGTGGAAAGGGAGACAAGGGGTGGAAAGGGAGACTAAGAGAGAAGGGTGAACATGGAGATGGGTTAAACAACTTACATCTGTTCTTTTAAGATGAGCATCTTACTGTTTGGCTCAGCCATTTTTGTAGCATTGCTGATTCTTGAGCAGGGGTATACATTTTTGTTTCATTCACTGTGGCATGCAGAACAAAACACAATATTCCCAGACAAGAATAAAGCCGTTTTAATGTATTTTAGTGAGTTTTCTCTTTTTGCCATTTTGTTGTTGTTGACATTCCATGATGCACTTAAAACATAGAACACATTGCTTTTCTATAAAAAGAAATGACAATTTCCACAAAATCCAGTGGCTGTCATGCATTCTTTTGGATATTTTGTGTAAAACAAAGCTCTTTACACCCTTACATAAGGCAACAAACCTTGTGGTAGTTTACACTTTCTGTCTTATTGGAGATGGGGAAAAAAATCTCAATATTCTTTACATCCCCACCCTTACATACATTTCAGGGTAGTTTCTTTCTAGATCAGATTGCTGTTCCTTTGATTCTCTGGACTATAATGATTTTCCAGATAGGAAGACCATGGAAATAAGTGCTTCTTGATTGATCTAGGCTTTTTAAACATTATTTGATATAGCATGCTATGAATAAATTTCCTGTGAGATACCTCATGGCTCAGGTCTCAGCTCTTAGCTGGATCTGTTCATTGTATATTTTAAAGAATTGCATGGAGGCGGGTCTGTGTTGTACTGAAGCAGTTATTAAGCACATCAGGGAAACTTTGGAATATCGTTGAGTTTACTCAAAGCATATGCTTTGTTTCTCCAAGAATATCATAACTGCTTTGGGTTATTTCTAAAGGACTTAATAGCTTTTACAGCGTGTTCTTTGGCTGCTTCCGCTTCCTTGTTTTTGTCAGCAAAGTTTCTACAGAAATTCAGAAACAGCTATGTGATTCTACTCTTGCAAGTTCTATATACCCATCCCAGGGCCATATATGACACAGATGCTGGAATTGATTCAGAGTGGTACTCTGGACCAGCCTCAGGGGGTCCACATGGCCAGGCTCCGAACCCCATCTACTGTTCTTCTCTCACTGCTTTGGCACTCCAGCCAGTATCAGTATATCCAACGCTCAGTGACCACCAACAATTTCACGCCCAATGATACCACTATTCTGACACAGTGATGGCGGCGTTAAGTAGCTTCCCCTGACCATGGACCGCTTGAGCTCTGGAAAGGAGAATGGCCATGTAAACAGTGCAAGATGGTTTTGAATCAGAACTGGTCCAACTGTTCACACATACCCAAAGTGCAGGGAAGCTTCAGGCTTCCCTCAACTTCAAGTAACTTGAAACAAGGGTACATTAAGCAGCCTTGTTAGATATTCAATCAAATCAGCCTTGTGCATCATTGGGATGCCATGAAGTCCATTCGCCCCTGCCCTGTCTAATTTTGCCTGTGTAGATGTGTCCCCAATCAATTCTGTTCTAACATTTAACAAATATGCTGTCTTTTCCGCACTAACCTTGAGTTTTACCATACAACTTGCCTGAAAACATATAGTTCTGAGCTTCATAGATTTATATGAAAAAATGAACTCTTGCCTTCAGACGTGGTGTTTATGACTGTAGTGGGTACTTGACAATTGCTGAAGTGTGTGCAGTGAATTTGCTCCTAGATCTGTTCAATTTCTCCCATTCATGGGAGTTTGGAGGAGGGGATGCTTCCACCCCAACATCTGCCAATTCTACCATAAAAACACATAGCAAATGTGATCCATATTTACCTTGAAACATCTGAAGTATGCCATGAATCCAGATACTCTGCATTGTTGCTTCCCCGCCCTGCCCCCCCCAAATGAATTTGCTTTTCTTAATTCATTAGCATTAATTAGTTTCATTGAGGAGATGCAGTATTAATGTTAGGACACAGAGTGCTTAGAAAACACTCTGTGGTGATATGGATTCTATAAGCATTTGGGATGGATAGCAAGCCATTGTAGTAAAACATGTTTGGAGTTTCAATTTGTTAGTATATTGATCTGAAATTGAGCATGAATTAATGAACTTGATGGGAGAGACTAGATTAGAAGAACAATAAAACCAAAGAATGTGCATTCTCAAATAGGGCTATACAAAGAGTGTCCCTCCAGGTGTTGTTGAACAGTAACTTCCACTAATAATAGTCAGCACAGCTAGTGATGAGAGGTGCTGGATACTGCAGTTCAACATCACCTGAAGAGTTGCACTTCACCAGCCCCAATCAAGAACTATTTAAAAGCATTTTAATTCAAAAATGTGTATATGTCTGTAAATGCCATAGCTTAAAGCAATCCTTGCTCATGATTCTAAACTTGAACAAGTTTTTCTTCATTTCCTTTGAAAACAGTCCACTTGAAAGCAATGTAGAATTATATGTTCAAATCTTTAATGCATGTGCACATATTTAGTAACTGTACTCCAGGGGATACCAGTGGATGGAATATAAAGGTTTTTAATATCTGCTGATAGGCTGCTCTATTATCTTTCTGATGTTCACTGTAAAATGCTTATGGAATGTTAAAATGAAATTGGAGAGCTGTCTTTTAATGTTCATTTTCCCTCCTTTCCCCCTGAGAATGAGTAAGTATATTAAGATGGAGAAGCTGCTAGTATAGGGAATAGAGAAATGTCCAAGAGACTGGTTCAGGAATATCCAACCATGCTATCATTTTTAAGTAGGAAGAGAACAATTATGATTACGGCTGTGAATGGTTTGTTTATCAAAACGTATCTAGAAAACACAAATGTGCAAAGGGATTCAGAATTTTTTCCAATTAATTTAGAACTAATAATTTGTAAGGTGGCCCTAGCTTATGTTATGTATTTCTACAATAAGCTAATTTTATGTGATATTTACTATATTTATTTTACTTGTAGCTTCATGGTTTAAGCCCACAGAAAACTCCTTCATCATTGCCACCGTGATTGTTGCAGCTGTTTTGTATTTTTCTCAGTCAGTGGTTGTAGGTAAGTATGACGTTTCATATTCTTTATCAATGCTAGGGCTTATTTTATTATGAAGTATTTTCCATATGAATTAGAAAAGATTAAATGGGAGGGATGCTCTGCAGCCTCCTCTCCCAAATATTTAAGGTTACACACTTTGAGCAGTTAATGTAACTTTTAACTAATATTTTCTATGTTTTAAATATAATATAGAATGAAAGATTACATCGTAATTAATTTGACGTCTGCCATCTTTTGTGTATACAACCTGTGAATGGTAATTAATGCTTTCTATAATTCATAGCACAAAGGAAGCTTGTACATGTCTCTGGCTTTTCAACATCTTAGTCATCTAATTAACATAAAGATAGGTGCTGGCTGCTATCATCCTATCCCAAACTATTCCCTCTTTTTATAGAATTATTCTGTAAAGATATTGGTATGAAAATATGATGCCTGTTTTGTTATGCATCTATTTCTCCAATAGATAATATTATATTCATCCTTTATAGATTGTTTTAAAAGAGTATCTTAAATATTCCAGTTTAACTGAGGAAAAGAGAGCTATTTGAGTTTTATACACAGCTATAGACAAGTAAAATTGTAGCTTTTTTGCTGTTAATACATGGCTACAATTTAGGAGTAATGGCAGGGACACAAAAACAGGCAGAGGGACCTGTTTTTTGCTCACTCTTTTCTTGGGGGAGGGGGGAGATCATGGCTTATCTGTGTGTATATATGTGTACCTTCAAATAATCTGTTGCCTTTTGATGATCACATGAATTTCATAGGATTTCTTAGTCAAGAAATACTCAAAGGTGATTTTCTAGTTCCTTCTTCTGAAATACGATGTAGTGTACAGTACCTAGTATTCACTGGTTGTCCCCCATTCAATTTCTAACCAGAACTGTGCTTAGCTTTCCAAGATCTGATGGGATCATCTGGTGCTTTTAGGATATTTAGGCTATCAGAACTTCTACGTAGAACAGAAAAGGCTCGTGCTAGCTGGTGAAAGGACAGACTTTTATCATTTAAAAAAATGTAAAGTGAAACTTTGACTTACACTTGCACCAACTTATGGGTTTTTCAAGCTCTAGTGTTGCTGTTACTAGCCCCCCCCCCCCCCATTTCTAGCAGGTTGCCTTTCGCCTAATTTGGTGGTTTGGGGGGGTGGGGTGGAACAGATTAATAACATTTCAATGCATTTCAATGGGAAATTTTGCTTTCAGATAAGAACAATTTGAGGTAAGAGTTCAGCACAGAACAAATTAATTGTGTAAGTCAAGGTATCACTGTATTCCTTTTCTTCCTATGTCATTGCGCCAGAGTGAAATGAGGAATGCCTCTTTAAAAGAGAATGGTTCCAGGCACTTAAGAAGAGCCAGAGAAACACTCTTTGGGTCCCAAAGATCTCAATAGCTATTGGCTAGTTGCTAATAATAGCTATTTCTGCTGAGATACTTAGATAGATGGTTGTTGTACAACTCCAGTCAATTTGACAGTCAATAGTGTTTCTAAATCAATTTCAATCTAGCTTTAGACTTTGTCAGTCTGCTTTGATTTTTGCCAAGGGACATATAGTGAGGTGTAGCCTTGTCAGTTCAGTTGGATCTTTTGGATCCTTTTGATTCCCTTGCTTCTGATGTCCTGGATAAGCTGTCCTGGTTGGGCAGTGGAGGTGCTGTGGCACAATGGTTCTATTCCTAACAACAGAATGGTGATGTTGGCAAATTATTTGCTTGCTAAAGCCTTGCATTTTATGCTGTTAGGTTCCATATGGCTCTTTTGTATTCTCCCATGCTATTTAACTTTTGCCTCAAGGATAGGATAGGAAACCGCTTTTAGAGTGAAGACTAATTCCACTTCCATAGATGTTCTGAGTAGTTTGGTGTCAGTCTTTCAGAAAGGGGGAAAACTGTAGAAAAGCTGTGAAATCAACAAATTATGGTATTGGGAACATAGATGTGACAGTATGGGGAACTGCAGAGTGCTAGATGTAGCACCAGGGCACAAGTTTCACTAGCTTTGATATACATGATATTCTTGAAGGCTTTGAGATATGATGTCAAAATGCAGATAATACATAACTGCATTAATTCTCGCATCTAGTTTGAGTTAAGCAGAGTAATGACCTAGATGAAGACCAATAAGCTGAATCTCAGTAGAGGCAGTCCCCGAGTTACAGACATCCGATTCACAAACCACTCCTAGTTAAGAAAGGGGGTGAGACAGCAGGAAGTGAGAGAGTTCTGCCCCCTGGAAGGGAAATTCTCTCCTGAAAGAGTTACATGGGAAAAAGTTGTATCTACTGAAGCATTCTCAACAATCATTTCCACAACAAGCCAATTATTTCAAATCCAATTATCACAAGGGACAGAAAGTGAGACGAAATCTTCTGAACAGGGGCACAACTAGCAAAACAAACACCATAGGTGTGTTAGCCCTTCTCTGTGCTATCTAAAGCTTACACACACACACACACACACACACACACACACTTATATTTCTGATTGGAGTTACACTTTAAAATGTACCTCTTCCAGCTTACATACAAATTCAACTTAAGAACAAACCTATAGAACCTACCTTATTCGTAACTTGGGGATTGCCTGTATAGACAATATTGAGATCCATGTAAGAGATCAGATTCACATTTTGGAAATTCCCCTCTGTCTGTATCTGTCCAAATTGCTGACATGGTATGGAGTGTCTTTTTTTTTTTTAAGCAGATGAGATTATTCATCAGCTGTGGCCCTGGTCAGATAAGAGTAACATTGCTCTGGTAATCTCTAATACACTGTATATAGGCAATATTTGAAAACAATTTTGAAAGTGCAGTTATTTGAAAATTAAATTGTACTCTAATCACATGGTGACATAACTACATCAGTAGTAGTTTTCTCTCTGTTTGTAGATCCAATTTAAATGGCTAATTTTGATCTTTATACCTCCTCCCAGTATGAAATCAGAGTATTTGAATTTTATGTCCCCTCGTGCATATTTCTTAGAGGGCCCCTGCTGGCTAAGGCAAGGTAGATGAGTGAGTACTAGCAAAAGGGCCTTCATAGTGACAGTGTCACCCATTTCATTGACATTTTGAATCTAGTTTTAAATTTCCTAAATAGCTTTATTTGTAAAGGAGTTGTTCCTTTATTCCAAAGAAAGAACATCTGCATTAACTGTAGTTGGGTTGCACTCATGATTTAATAAACTACTTGTTAAAACCAAATGTTAAAATATTTAAAAGGGTGTCCCATTGAAGAGGAGGAGGGGGAAAACTGACTTTTTACTGCTCTAGAGACCAGGGCACAAGGGAGCAATGGTTTCAAATGGCAGGGAAAGAGATTCCACTGAAAAGATTAGGAGGAACTTCCTGAAAGAGCTGTTGGAGAGTGGCACAGGCTGCCTGGGAGTGTGGTGGAGTCTCCTTCTCTGGAGGCTTTTCCACAGAGGCTGTCTATTGTGAGTGCTTTGATTGTGCCTTCCTGCATGATAGGGGGTTAGACTGGATAGCCCTTGGGAGTCTCTTTCAGCTCAAGGATTGTAGGATTCTATATCTGGAGTAGGCAATACGGGGTCTCATAGATGCACTTTTTCTCTGCAGTCCACCATCTCATCCTGACCAGGACTAACCCTTTTGGGATCCAAATGTTTATTTATTTATTTATTTACTGTATTTGTATACTGCTCTTCTCAGCCCTCAGGCAACTCAGGATGGTTTACAGAGGCAACAATGCAATGCCCAACAACACTATAAAAGTATTTAAAACATTAACATATAATATAAAACCATACAAAATCAATAAAAATATAAATCATTTGTGACTCCTAGTTAAAACTGTTGTCTTGTCCAGTATCATCATCCAGTCGTTCCATATTCCTATGTCTGTTACACTGCATTTTAAAACACTTTCTCAAACAGCCAAGTCTTGACATTTTTCGGAATGTTTCCCATCATTCCTTCACTTTCTGCCTTCAAAAGAGAAGAGGAAGGGGAAGAAAGGACAGGGAGAGGACTTTGCAAGGACCCCCTCCCTCCTGGCCCACCCACCATGCAGCCCCCAAATTAGAAAGTTTGCCCATGCCTGTACTAGATGATCATCTAACAGTTCCTATTCTGTACTGACTCATATCCGAATTGATTTGTATATGAAGTGAACCTGAGTGTGTTATTTATTGAATGCAATACAATTTGAGTCTAGTTTGTTTATAAAAATTCTGCTTATCTTCAGTGCATAAGTGGAGACTTGAAGATGCCAGGTGTTACTTATTTTTCTTTTATGACTTGAAATTTCCTTCTTCATCAAAACCTGCTACCCTACTCATTCGGACAGTGTAACAGCCAATATCTTGTCAGAACACCACTAATTGCTTTGGACATCAGTGTGAGTGCAGTATATATTAAAGATAAAGGTTTCCCCTTGACATTAAGTCTAGTTGTGTCCGAATCTGGGGAGTGATGCTCATCACCATTTCTAAGCCGAAGAGCTGCCATTGTCTGTAGACACCTCCTAGGTCCTGCAGCATATAATATTAAGGTCAAAAATGAGACTCCTTTGTGCAAGGAGAACCTTGCACATCTATTATTTATTTATTTATTTATTTATGCCCCACTTTATCTCCCCCAAAGGGGACTCAGTGTGGCTATGTGATTCAGCATTTCTTGGGGCGGCTAGCCCAATGCCTGTAGGCACTATTTCTCTGCACACTGATTAAGCAAACAGTCAGAGTAGTAATACAGATTTTTTCTATTTATTTCCTATTTGTTACTGTGGCACAGAAGTGAACTGAAAGCCAGTGACTTTATTGATATGTTAGAAAACATGGCTATAGTGAAAAGAAATTACTGTTGACTGTTCAGCTTTCAAATGCTGCTCTTTAAAATTGTATTTACAAGTATTCTTTCTTCTTTATAATAAAAATCACACTGCGTCTTTTTTACATCATACAATATCTACAGTGATGATTCTTGACTAGAAATGTACCTGGTAGTTTGTTCAACAATGCTTAGGGCAGAAAAGAGCACAGCTGGCAATAGTGAGTGTGCAGTTTTCCCAACTTCTTTTCTTTGGAAGACTACCAAAGTGTAATGTAAACGTATGAACCATCAGTCTTTGAAATGAACCACTTCTGTAGTATACCTAATTTGACTGCATTTTTAAAAGGCTACCATGTTCAGCTGAAGTAGAAAAGAGAATGTAGTATCTGATCTGTCTCCCATACAGAGATCTAGTGGCAAATGAGTTGAACTTTATGCAGAGTACTTGTAATTTTAAATAAAATCAGAGATACCATGGCACTAAGTTCTAGAGTTGTAGATTCTCCTGGTGAGGGACAGCATTTGTGTAATTGAAATGGGCAAAGAAAGTGTTGGAATGCAGCATCTCTTACCAGCCTCATATTGACATGGAACTGTGGAGTTGGAGCAAAGGGTCTCATTTTACCAGTGTGAAACGTGGCTGGATTTTTGCAGATTGTGTAGTGCAAGGGTCCTCAAACTAAGGCCCGGGGGCCGGATACGGCCCTCCAAGGTAATTTACCCAGCCCTCGCTCAGGGTCTGAAACATATTGAAAGCACACAACAACAACAATAATTCTATCTCATCAGCCAAAAGCAGGTCCATACTTCCCACTGAAATACTAACAAGTTTATATTTGTTAAAATTGTTCTTCATTATTAATTATTGTATTGTTTTTAAGTGTTTTTGCACTACAAATAAGATATGTGCAGGGTGCATAGGAATTAATTCATGTATTTTTTTCAAATTATAATCTGGTCCTCCAACAGTTTGAGGGACTATGACCTGGCCCTCTGTTTAAAAAGTTTGAGGACCCCTGGTGTAGTGTATACTTTCATAGAGCGTCAGGAGTGACTTCCTCTTCATTGCTGTGATTAGCACAAACCCAATTTCTGTAAGAGTTGTGTGATAACTGTGCAAATGTTAGGTTAATCTGCAGTGTCAAAACTGGATTTAAAAATTGTGAAAGGGTGATCTTGCTTGCTGCATTTCCTCCTTTTTAAAATCCGTGATCCTGACTTCTACAAATCACAGTTAATTTTTGTGTTTGTTTTTCAAATATTTTTCAAATACTATTGCTCACCTTTTTGACTAAATCACCTCCCCAAAATTAGGGTGCACATTAGATACGTGTAATATGGTAAATTCTTTTTTGGATTTCAGGGTTTCGAAAACTGAGGTGTGCATTAGATTCAATGGCACATTAGACTCGAGTAAATACGGTATTTAAAAAGGTAGTTTTTCCTACATATTATTGTAATATACTCCTTTTAAATAATTATAAAGACCCTTACCACTTAAAATTAAATCATTTTCTGTCATCCAATATAAACCTACTTGTTTAGGCCTAAAGTTATTTGTTTGGTAGAGTAGCCTTATTATCAGTTTAGCAAATTCCCATTAATACTGTTTTTGTGCAAAGAAAGTAATCACTGATGATATGCTGGTGCAGGGGTGCAAGAGCAAGTGTTTTGGATCTGGAGGCCAAGAATTAGAAATGCCATGGAATAGATAATATGTTTTATTCATTTTATATATTAATGTGGACTTTTGCCTGGTCCCTGGGTTTTCAAAATCATGAGAGGCATCAGGGCCCATGGTTACCATGCTGTTTCTCTACCAGATTGTACTGTTGACTGTGTAAGTTGTGAATGTATCTGTTTCTATGGTTCTAAATACTTATTACTGTTGACAAAGCAGTATTAGTATTTGTTTTATATAGCATTAGAAACAGTGTTCTGCCCAGCAAGTACTCTGTACCTGAGAAGTTTTGAGAAACTGGTTTGTATCCTCAGACAACTGAACATGAAGGGATTCACATCAAGAAACCTGTCTGTCCACTACTTCAGCCTGATTTTGTATGACTCTACCTCACTAGGGTTATAGATTTTACTTGATCAATTTGGAACTGCTGTAGAAAGATGAATTATACCAAGCAGGCAGAAATAATTCTGTAGTGAAAAATAAGACAGAACTGCATAATCTGAAAATACTTACAAATAACTATAGATTATAACATACAGCAGAGAAGCATGTTTTGGGTTGTTGTAGGTTTTTTCGGGCTATATGGCCATGGTCTAGAGGCATTCTCTCCTGACGTTTCACCTGTATCTATGGCAAGCATCCTCAGAGGTAGTGAGGTCTGTTGGAACTAGGACAAAGGGTTTATATATCTGTGGAATGCATAGGAAGATATATAGGGTACTTCTGGTTTAGGGGTGACATGATTGCACTCTTTAAATACCTTGAAGGCTGTCACAGAGAGGCCTGTTCTCTGCTGCCTTAGAGAGTGTGGCCAAGTCTAAGGGTTGAAGCTAGATTAGATTTTGATCAAAATTCGAAGGAGCATATTAAAAACAAGAGTAGTTTGATAGTTAAGTTAAGTGCCTAGTGAGTTTTTGGGGTCTCTTTCCCTGGATGTCTTCAAAAAGAGACTGAACCTGTTGGGGATGCTCTATCTGGAGAGCCTGCATTTTGAGCAGTGTGTTGGACTTAGTGGCACATGAAGATCTTTCCGTGCTATTCTTTGAACTTTCAGTATGAAATGGGACCTGGGACCATTCAGTTTAACTCCTAGTAAACCTTAGGTACAGTATAGTTGTTTGGCATGGGAGCATTAGTACCTTTCTGTAAATATGTGGATATGGTTGATCATGCATTTTTCAGACATGTATCAAGAGAAGACAGCAGCATGACCATTCTTGTGTATCTTAATTTATAAACTGTATTGTCATAAATCATTATCAGAAACATTGTCTTAATATTCTATTGATGTACTTCCAGAACGAATAATTTAAACATGGTATATGGTGTTCTTCAACTAATTACTAGTTTTGAAAGTATTACTTTCTTCTGTTTTTTTTTACAGCAATGAGATTTGACATGACACTTTCTAAGAAGATTGGCTTATTTCTTTCAGAACTAATAGTCATCTTTCTTGCTGTGATAGGTATCATTCTTTTAATTCCAGGTAAGGTGCACCCTAACTTAAGTTCTTGAAGTAAGAGTAAGATTTTTGTGTGATAATCAGGCCAATAGTTGGTTGATTGTCTCAATTTGACAATGCAAAGAATAGATTCTATATCTTAGGGGAGCTGATGTCACCTGTTCAGAAATACAAACTGAAAAAGCAGCAAGTTTTAAGAATTGGTTCTTTCCAAAACTAAACTTCCACTAGCTTAAGAGCATAATCTATCATGGGAGGTGGGAATTTGTAAACTTGCCATATTTCATCACATAATAGTCACACTGTTTTGTTTTTTTAAAGAAAGGGAACTGCTACTATTATGCTATGGCAACTATTATGCATTGAAAATGCCCCCAAAGCAAGACAAGGCTCTGTATCTCCGGAGGGGACAGATGGAGGGGAACCCACTCGCCCACCTCCCCCCATAATTGGTCTTGTGGGGATTGACTTGGCTACCAGCTGATTCAAGCCCCATGTTTTTAATGTTATGCTTTTAATTTGTTTTGATTTTATTGATTGTTTGATTACATTTTAAACTTTTGTATGAAGTACATTTTCTGCTTTATGGTTTTAACTATTGTAAGCCATCTCATGTCCCAGATGGGAAAGGCAGGATATAAATAAATATAGTAATAATTAAACTAAGAATAGGTGCTTTAGGCAATGCACCAGCGTGCATTTTTGTTTAAATTTTATGGGGGAAATAAACACATTGAAAACTTTAATAGACATCCATGTCTAATAACTTATGAATTAGATAATTAAATATGTCTTAGGGGTAAAAATATCTGCACAATCGTAATTCACAAATAGCACAGTGTATAGGTCGTTTAAGGAAAAGAAATCTCAGTTTGAGGTCTTTTGATGCAGGGAAGATCTCATCTCCTACCTTCCACAGCAATTTCCACAGGGTCTTCCCCCTGCCCAACATCTTACAAGAGGTAAGAAAGACACACTGAAAATGTCATAGAGGAGAGGAAGATGTGGGTCCAGAATTCCCTTAGTTCCCACCCATGCGGCCAAGATAAATTTAGACCAACCATGAAGGTGCTCTAGATTAAGCCTACACTACACATGGCCTGCCAAGCTCTGCCCCCCACCTCATCCCTTTTGCCACTTGTGTCCTCTGCTGCCCCCTCTTTTGAGCCTGACGAACGTGCAAGGAGGCTGGACTGCCCCTTACAGATTGGGATCTCCACTGCCTGCCTTCTAGACCAGAAAAATGAATTACATTAAATATAGTATTCATATATCTGCCTCTCCACTTAAATTATTTGAAGCTATATTGCTGCCAAATTTGGTGTCCAGCACTTTCAACTTAGTGGCAGATGTTTCTGCTATTAGTTCAAAGCAGTTATTTGCCACAAATGCTAGAGTAGCACTGTACAGAACATAGTTGTCATTTTGAGATCATATTCCAGCAGTTGCTGGTCATGTGATCTCTTACATTACACACTGGTTCTTTATTTCATTAGCTGTACAAGCCATTTTATTTGTAAAAAATCATTTAAAAACCCAGCCTGTGTTTGGGAGGAGTGGAATGCGATTATACGATCCTTGCCCAGATGGCCTGCAATCTGCGACAGGCAAAGTTTGGGACAGTTAGAATAGAAATCCAGCATTCAGTTTAAATGGTTAAAACAAAAAAAAAGTAGCAATTGAAATTTGTGTTTCTTTCTTATCCTTATTCAGTAGTCTTGATATGACTACTTCTATATCGTCTAAGTAGATTGGATGGCTATGTAATGCATGAATTCCTGTTATGTAAACGTTTAACAGAAAAATTGTATTTTTCTCATGTTGGTTTTCCCTGAAGGAACATTTAAGTAGGTCACTTTCATAATTTTCTGCTTCTTTTAGAATGTAGTAAATATAGTCATATTGGGGGATAGAATTTGTATTAATCCCATTTAAATGCTTTGAGTCCTCTAAGTATTAATACTGCTTCCTTTATGATATACCCAAAAATAAAATGGACAAAATGTTTGTTGGCTTAGCTATGTATTCAGTGCTCTGGTATGTGCTTTTTTGTTTTTGTTTTTTTGCAAGAAGCAGTCCCGTGGTTGCTTATTAAAGACTTGATATGTACTCTGAAACTCAAATTTAAATAGAAGATAGTTAGGTATGTGTTTAAAATTCTTCTTTGTATTATATGATTAATGGCTTCTGTTTTAATTGATTTTTTATAGCGGGATATGAATCTTCACAACGAATTGGCCTTGCCTTAATAGTAGTGCCTGCTTTTATTTTAGTGCCCATTCTTCACTTTCTGTTCACATCAGGTAAGAATCCGTTGATTTCCTAACTTGGAAAATTATTCCCAGAATTTAATATGAAAGACAGAAGGAGACAAAGTAGAAATGAAGCATTTTTTTTTGGGGGGGGGATAGAATATTCTTCTTAGCTCTGTCCTGGAATGATACTGGAAAAGTCTTACTGTTGCTGAAGTGTGGCATTTCTGGGATTGTAATTGCGTCTGCAAAGAACCGTCCGGCTGAGTTGTTCCGGATTGTCAGAGGCCTTTTAAACCCCGCCAGTCTACTTTAACTCTCGTTCTCCCTCTCCTCGCGAGATCTGGTCCCCAAAACCTCGTTCCCAATCTCACTCCTTCTCGCGATCTTTAGATTTTTGCTATTATTTTTTCTATTTCCTTGTTCTTCTCGCCTCGTGGGCTCAGCTCTCTCTCCTGTTGGCCTTGAGATCCCCGTGCAGCGAAGGACAAGCAGCGAGGGAGGCCGCTTCAAGGTCAGCCTTAGTGATAAGGGATAAGGGATAAGGGAGGGTGCTGTTTACGAAGGCGCGCTAGTTTAAATAATTTTATTTTTGGAATGTTCAATTAATATTTTTGTATTTCAATTTAATATATTTGATGTTTAATCTGTTAGAAATAGTTGAACTTCTCTATATCTTTCTTCTTCCTCTTCTTCCTCTTCTATCTCTGTTTCTTATTTTAGCTATGGTGGCTTTAATGTGCTTCGCTTTTACTTAATTTTTTACTTTATTTTCTGCCACTTGTCTTTTGCTCCCTGTGTATCCTCTTTGCCTCTTTTATCTCTTTTAATTCTCTAGACTTTTAATTCCTTCTTTCTCTTATCTCTTGTCTCTTATCTCTTCTCTTTAGTTCTCTTTGGTTCTTTATAATTTATCTCTTTTTTTAAATAAATTATCTCTTCTCTTTGAGTAAAGTCTTGTTGGTCTTAATTTGCCTTTAATTCTCGATAAGAGCACTCCTCTAGTCCTCTAGTCCTCTAGTCTTTTCTCTTCTTCTCTTTCCTGCCGAGTCCCGGATCCCCGGTTTTCCTTTTCCTCTCTCTCCCCTCCGCCTCCTCTCTTCTCCTCTTCCCTCTTCTCCTTCTCTCCCGAAAGAGAGCTCAATCACCTCCTCCACTTTACTCTTTTTCCTCTACTTACGATTTGTTTATCTTCTTGCTTTCTTCTTATTTAAAATGCGCGTGGCTGGAGATGTGCAGGAGTTTCCTCCTGGCTGCTTCTGCCACGGCCCGCCGTACCTCAGGGCCACTTGCCGGACCCTTATGGTGATCTCCTCTTGAGGAGGAGACCCCCCATGGGCCGTTGGCTGGCCCCCGGTTCCGCTGTTCCTTTTCACCTCGATCCGTGAAAGGAAGGGAGTTTGCACTCTACCCGACCGCTGGCTGAGCTGGCACCCTCTGAAGAGCTCTAAGATGCCCGTCTCTCCGCCATGCTCGCGCACCTGGAAGTTAAAGTAAGAAGAGAAGAAGGGCGGAAGTAAAGTGACAAAGAAGGGCGGAAGCGCGCGGACAGGAACGAGAGTAACAGAGTCACAGAGAATATCGTGAGAGAAAAAATAAATAATAATAAAAAATAAATAAAATAAAAATAAAATAAATAAATAAATAAATAAATAAATAATAAAAATAAATAAAGGGAAGAAACGTGAGTAGGCCAAGACCCTGCGAGAAGTTAAGGGCGGAAGAAGCGTAAGGCACGAGACTTAAGAGGAATACAGCGAGAAGAGCCTGGAATCTTAGAGAAAAATAGAAGGAAAAAATAATAATAAATAATAAAGAAATAAAATAATAAAAATAAAATAAATAATCCGGAAAATAATAATAATAATAATAATAATAATAAATTAAAAATTAAATCAAAAAGAAAATAGAATAAAGAAAAAAATAAACAAAACAAATAAATAAACAAACAAATAAATAAATAAATAAATAGAAAAAAATAAACAAAAAAAGGGAGGGGGAAAAAAGGGGGGAGGAAAAAAATAAAATAAAATAAAAATTTAAAAGAGGGATAATAAAAATTATTAAAGAAAATAAAATAATAATAATAATAATAAATTTAAAAAGCTAAGAAAGGAAGTAAATAAAGAAAGAAAAGTTACAAAGAATAAAAAATGGCGACGGCTAAAGCAAAAATAGACAAAGGGGACAAAGGAGATAAAGACAAAGAGAAAGAAAAAGAGGGAAAGGAAAGTAAAGAAACTAAAGGGGCAACAAGAAGACTATCGGTGTCAGAGGAGCTTAGTATAAGAGAGATCCTGAAAAATATGATGAAGGAATTACAGTCAATACAAGATAAACAGGACAAACTACAGGAAAAACAGGACAAGATGCAAGAAAAGCAAGATGCATACCAAAAAGTGGCACAAGAACAGATGGCAGACTTACGAAAAGAACTAAAGGATGAAGTTGGTGCAGTAAAAACAGAAATCACGTCAATACAACAGGAACTGAAAGAATTGAGAGCGGAGAAAAGTAACATGAAAGCAGAGCAAGAGAAGCTACAGAAAAAAGTCGAGAAGCTGGAACAAAAAGAGGAGAAATTGGAAAAACTTGAACAAAAACAGGAAGCGATGGAAACAAGAAATCTAGAATTTCAACTAAGAATGAGAAGTGTTCCGGAAGAGAGAGGTGAGGATATTCAAGAGAAAATAACAGAGATTTTGATGGAATTACTGGAGCTGTCAGAACAAGAGACTCTAATGCAGACAGATAGAATCTACAGAATAAATACAATTTACGCGAAAAGAAACAAAATGCCACGAGACGTGATTGTACATCTGGTTAAGAAAACGATAAGGGACAAAATTCTGAGACTAAATGCGAAAAAACAGATTTTCTACAAAGGTGAGAAAGTAACGATTTTGAAAGAAATTCCGGCGACAGCCCTGAGAAGAAGAAGGAAATATACATTCCTTACAGAGGAGCTGAAAAAGCAAAGAATACGTTATAGATGGGAAAAAGATGAAGGATTAATGGCTACGTACAAAGAGCAAAGATACTGGATAACAAATGAGGAAAGAGCCAGAGATTTTTATGACGAAATAAAGAGGGACAGAGAAAGAGAAAAGGGCAAAGAGAGAAGATTCGGAAATAAGAATAAGGACAATCATCCAGACACAACAGCCAGAGAAGAAAGTAACACAGAAGACTACAGAAGTAAATTAAGAGGCTGGCCCGGAAACAAATCGAAAAAGGAAGATGAAGACCAACGATTGGAAAACGAAGAAGACGAGGAAGAGGAAGAGGGAGAAGAAGAGGAAGAGGAAGAAAAGGGAGAAGAAGAGAGAAGGGAGAGAGAAGCTGAAGGAGAAGCAAAATGCACGGAGAACTGAAAATATACACAAACAACATAAATGGTCTAAATTCACCGAACAAAAGAAATAAAGTCTTTAATAAGCTAAAGAAAAAAAATTACCATATAGTGGCGCTACAAGAAACACATATAGCCCAACGACATGCGATACATTTAGAAAACAAAAGCCTAGGGAACTTGTTTTATGCATCGGCGCAAGAGAAGAAAAAAGGTGTAGCAATATACATAGATAAGAAAATCATATCGACACTGGCTTTCAAAGACGAAGACGGAAGATATCTAGGAGTGACCATACAAAACCAAGGCAAAAAGATCCTAATTTGTAATATTTACGCACCAAATGAATCAAAAACAAATTTCGCAGCAAAAGTAAAAATGCAGATAGAACAAGAAGAATTCGACCAATTAATAATATTAGGAGATTTTAATGGAGTCATAGATGGAGAAATAGATAGAAGCAAGAAAAGTAGACAGAAAAAAGGAAATAAGAAATCAAGTGGAAACCTACCAAAATCAATAACAAGTTGGATGACAGAATTTAATCTATGTGATGTATGGAGGACAAAAAATGAGGAAATAAGAGACTATACCTTTTTTCAGAAAGACACAAAAAGTGGTCAAGGATAGACATGATTTGGTTGTCAAAATCTTTGTTAATAGAAGTTAAAAAGATAAAAATTCATGCAAGAGAAGACTCAGACCACTGCCCTCTAGAATTAGTCTTAAACGAAGGGAAAAGAGGATGGAGATGGAAGTTAGACGAAAATCTACTGGCAAAAGAAGAAGATGTGGAAAGAAACAGGGAAATTATGAAAGAATTCTTCGAGATAAACGACAAACCAGAAACACACCCATTTACGGTATGGGAAACTAGCAAAGTCGTAATGAGGGGATACTTCATCCAACAAAAAGCGAGGAAGAAAAAAATAACAATACAAAAGAGGGAGGAAATTAGACAAGAAATTGAACAGGAAGAAGCCAGATTAAAAAGAAACCCAAAAGAAACAAAAATAAAAGAAAATCTTATATTATTACACAAACAAAGAGAATTTCTGGAAATGGAAGACAGAGCAAAACAATTAAAATATATTAAACAGGACTATTTTGCAAACGCAAATAAACCGGGGAAGTGGTTGGCAAAAAGATTAAGAAAGAAAAAAGAAGCATCATATGTGACGAGATTGAAAGAAGGAGACAAAGTCTATACAAAAGAGGAAGAAATAAGAAATCAATTTAGAAACTTTTATAAAAATTTATATAAAGAAGAAGAGATAAAAGAGGAGGAGGTAACAGAATACTTATGCAAACAGAAAATCAAAAAAATCTCAGACAAACAGAGAGAGGAGCTAAACAAGGAAATAACAGAACAAGAGATAAAAGAGGCTATAAGAAATTTGAAAACAAACAAATCGCCAGGCCCGGATGGCCTAACAGCAACATATTACAAAATCTTCCAAAAAGAATAACACCTTATCTAAAAAAAATTATGAATGAAATAAGACAAACTAAGAAGATGCCGGAAACTTGGAGACAAGCAACCATTTGTGTGATCCACAAAGAAAATACAGACCCGGATAATGTAAAAGACTACAGACCTATTTCGCTTTTAAACCTAGATTATAAAATATTCAGTTTCATAATTGCAGAACGCTTGAAGAAAATACTAAGTAAAGCAATAAAAGAAGACCAAGCGGGTTTCTTACCCAAAAGAAATCAAAACCAAAATGTGAGGACAATAATTGATTTAATCGAATATTATGAAATTAAAAACCAAAAGAAAGTGATGCTGTTGGCTATTGATGCGGAAAAGGCGTTCGACAACGTAAATTGGAATTTTTTGAAATTTTTAATGAAAGAATTAGATATTGGCTACTACTTTCAGAACATAATAAATGCCATCTATGAAAAACAGGAAGCTAAAATAATGATAAATGGATACGAAACAGAAAGCCTAGAAATTCAAAAAGGGACGAGACAAGGATGTCCCTTGTCGCCTTTGCTGTTTATATTAACCCTAGAAGTCTTAATGGAAAAAATAAGAAAGGAGGAAGAACTGAAGGGCACGAAAATACAAGGAAAAGAATATAAAATCAAAGCATTCGCTGATGATTTAATATGCATAGTAGAGGACCCCCTGGAAAAATTTGGAAAGTGGTTATCAATAATAACAGAGTTTGGATCAGTAGCAGGATTCAAAATGAACATAGAAAAGACGAAAGCATTGACGAAGAACATACCAGCCAAAGAACAAAAAAAGATTGACGAAAGATGGAAGATACAAATAGTGCAAAAATTAAAATATTTAAGGATCATATTGACAACAAAAAATCTACATTTGCTACAAAATAATTATACAGAAACATGGAAGAAAATTAGAAAAGATATGGAAAATTGGAAAAGCTTAAATTTAAGTCTATTAGGTAGAATAGCAACTGTGAAAATGAAGATATTACCAAAAATGGTCTTTTTATTCCAAAATTTGCCAGTAATAAGAAATCAAAAATTACTGAAAGAGTGGAGCAAAGACGTAATGAAATTTATATGGCAAAAGAAAAAACCAAGAATAAAATTTAATTATATGATCGAAGAAAGGAAAAGCGGCGGCATGGGGGTCCCAGAATTTAAGACATATTTTGAAGCTTGCGCATTAATGTGGGTAAGGGAATGGTCAAAATTAGAAAACGAAAAACTACTGAATCTCGAAGGGATAGACTTAAGAGCAGGTTGGCACCCGTATTTGTGGTATGAAGGAGTTAAAAAAGAAAAAAAGTTTGGCAACCACTTTATACGATCGGCCATATATAAAACATGGGAAAAATACAAGAGAAAAATCTGTGAGAAAACCCCAATGTGGATTTCACCGCTAGAAGCCGTACAAAGAAGGGAACTAGGCTGGAATGATTGGCCGAAATATAGAGAATTGGTGAAAAAAGAAAAGGGAAAAATAATCCTGAAAACCCAGCAAGAGATGAAAGAGCTCAACAGGAAAATTTCATGGTTTCAATTTGGCCAGATAAAAGAAAGCTTCAAAAAAGACAAAAAGATTGGCTTCGAAGAACAAACAACATTCTGGGACAATATAATGCAGACGGAAAAAAATTAATAACAAAGATATACAAAAAATTAAGAGAATGGAATAAAGACCCGAGCGAAGAAAAGGAATACATGAAGAGATGGAAAGAAAATATCGGAAGAAATATAAAAATTGAAGAATGGAAGAAAATCTGGACGAAGAAACTAAAATTTACATATGCTACCGACCTCAAAGAAAATTGGCTGAAAATGGCTTTTAGATGGTATATGACACCGCACAAATTAGGTAAATGCTACAGTAATGTTAACACAAACTGCTGGAAATGTAGAAAAAAAGAGGGCACCCTGTTCCACATGTGGTGGACATGTGACAAGGCGAAGACATACTGGAAAAAATACATGGAATAATGCAAAAGATGTTAGGAATAAATATCCAACTAAAACCAGAAACATTCTTATTAGGAATGACACCATCAAAAATGGAGAAAAATATGGATAAACTATTATTTTTACTAACAACGGCGGCGAGGATGTGTTACGCTAAGTTATGGAAGAAAGAAGAAATACCAGCATCAGAAGAATGGTTACAGAAAGTCTATGACATTAGAAACATGGACAGATTGACTTTTTTAATAGCGAGAAGTAAGGACAACTCAATACAAGAGACAGATTGGGGAAGAGTAACCGACTATTTAAAAGAGATAAAGTACAAAACAATAGTTTAAATAAAAGTAAAAAACCCCACAAGGAAGGAAGGCGAGAAGACGATGACAGACGAATGGAAAGGAGACAAAGAAAAGGAAAACACCTTCACCAACCTACTCAGGAAGTCACGAAGACCTGCTAATTTTTTTTTCTTTCTTTCTTTTCTTTTTCTGTTACAACATTCCCTTCTCTATTGGCCCTCACCTGTCTCTCCTTCCCTTCCCCTTCCCTACACTACTTACCTGACTTGTTCTTTGTTTCCCTTCTTTCCTCTTTTTTTTTATTACCCCCCTTATCTTTTAAACTATGTCACAGAAAATTCAATAATATATATATATATATATATAAATCATCTGTTACTGTCTGCTGCCAAATGGCATGTTTACATGGAACAGGCTAATGTGTGGCATTTGTGCTTGGAGCTGCCCCAGATCTAGCATGTAATTACGGAATCACGCTGTATGTATCCAGACAATTGAACCTGTCCCTCGCTGGCTCATATCACCACTGCTGCTCCATGGAGCTCCCGCAAGTGCTTGGCCATTGCTTGACACATTTGAGATGGCTGATCTGAGATGGTTTTAAACAATTGATTTTAATAGTGGAGATAATTGATTTTATAGTGTTTGTGTATATTTATAGTTTATTTTATGCTCCGGCATTGAATATTTGCCATATATATGTTGTGCTGAGTCTCTCTGAGTCTCCTTGTCTCCCAAATAAATCTATCTGCTTAGATTATAATGAGGTGCCCTGTTCTGACCTCAGCAGATACGACTGCAATGCCTAGAGGTTTATAGGGTGATCAGTGGCTAGTGAGAACCAGGGGCTACATGGGGACAACCCATCTCTGTCCACACGCTGTTTAGCACAGTGAAAGGATCATGAAAGTGGTGTGCTTGTGAGTGATTTGAGTGAAAATGAACCAAATCCAGCTGTCCAGACAGCCACAAAACCTTCATATACTTTGGAATTTTCCGCAATCACCAGAGTATCCCTTGACTTTATTTAGTGTGGAGCACAGTTAAGTTAAGGGCTAAAAACTCCAGATACTTACTGGAAGTCACTGTGCATCAGGTGTGGTTTGGGGCGAGCATGGCTTTTTAAGTAATGTACATGAGCCCAAAGACAAGAAACAGAGCCAGAAAAACATGGTAAGTAGGTGGGCTTGAATCCAAGACTCCTCTTAGCACTAACATAACCATGTATGCTCGCAGAGAAAACCTAGCTAGTTCGTGAGATTGGCTTAGTTTCTGGTTTGTTACAACCCCCATATCCTTAGTTTCTGGTTTGTTACAACCCCCATATCCACAGGAGGTACATTCCAGGATCCCCGTGGATACCTGAAAACATGGGTAATAGCAAACCTTATATTTTGACTATACTTGAGCCAGAAGCATACCATAGAATAACACTGGAGAACCTAAAGAGATTTACAAACGCTCTAATTTATGGACCTCTTTAGACCCCCCCCCCCAGTACAGTTTTATAATAACCTTGGGCCACAGAATTGCATAGACCTAGAAAGGCCCACATTTCATTGGAGTGTGGCTCTGAAATCATTAGATATCAAATCTGTGGATTTGGGTATTGTACTGTTTATCTGTTATATTTAAACATTGTTTTTATTGTGATATTGGAAAATAAATTAGCTTAGAACTTCTAGCTCTGGGAGTATTTTTAGTTGACAGTTATGTTTGTTTTTGCTTGCCCTACATGTTATATAAGACACATTTTCTCCCAGTTTAAATGAATATTTAAAACATCTCTATTTGTTTTGTTTCCATGTATGTATCAGTTGGTTCTCACCATTCTTTTCTTAATAATATATTATTGTTTCTCTAGTTTTTGAGAAGCAACCCCTGTTTGCAATTATTTTGGTATTCCTGAAAGCAATTGGATATATAATTGCCGTGGCTGGGTTTGGTTTGTGTGTGCTAGGTAAGCAATATATTTTATAATATTTCTTGAATTTTTGCTGTGAAGAACTTACTTACCGTTTTATTTTCAAGAGGTGTCATGTAGCACACTGACAAGTACCCTACAAAAAAACTTTTCTACATTGTTAAATCCATAAAGGTTTTCAAAGAAGAGAAACTTTGAGTACATTTAATATTGTTTTATCTCATGAACAAACATTGGCCTGAAGTTGGTGTTACATTTTCATCATCATGTCTCTGCCTTGCAGCCTGAATCTTGTGAGCTTGGGCTTAAAATAGGTTTGCTTTAAATTATTAACTCTACAGGCTGCACATTCTAAAGATGCTTCCAAAACTGCTGCTGGCTTTTACAGAGCTTGGAAAAGTCAGTTATAACTTCCACAATCTCCCGGCCAGCATGGCCATTGGACATCTGGAGCAAAACCATCTTTTTCAAGCATTGGCTTTTTGCAATTGTTTTAATTTGTATTTAGAACCTTAGTATGTGACATACACATGTATCCAAGAGATGAGGAAACTGAACAGCTTTATAGTTTTCACACATTTATGGAGCCTCCGGTAGTGCAACGGGTTAAACTGCTGAGCTGCTGAACTTGCTGACCAAAAGGTTTGTGGTTCGAATCCAGGGAATGGGGTGAGCTCCTGCTGTTAGGCCCAGCTTCTGCCAACCTAGCAGTTTGAAAAAATGCAAATGTGAGTAGATCAATAGGTACTGCTTCGGCGGGAAGGTAACAGCACTCCATACAGTCATGCAGGCCACATGATCTTGGAGGTGTCTATGGACAATGCCGGCTCTTCAGTTTAGAAATGGAGATGAGCACCAACCCCCCCACCACCTCCATCACGCTCCACCACCCCAGAGTTGGACATGAGTAGACTTAATGTCAAGGGGAAACCTTTTCCATTTAACTATTTAACTAATATTAAACTTTTGCAAAATGACATAATGTATGTTTCATCACAATGTATAAAAGTTGGAAAATATTTTTGTGTGGTGAGAACATGTCATTTTAATGCCATTTTAAGGTTGGACATCCTATAGTACTTTTTTTTTGTCGTGTCAGGAGCAACTTGAGAAACTGCAAGTCGCTTCTGGTGTGAGAGAATTGGCCGTCTACAAGGATGTTGCCCAGGGGACGCCCGGATGATTTGATGTTTTTATCATCCTTGTGGGAGGCTTCTCTCATGTCCCCGCATGAGGAGCTGGAGTTGAGGAGGGAGCTCATCCGCCTCTCCCCGGATTCTAACCTGCGACCTGTCCTGCCAGCACAGTCCTGCCAGCACAGGGGTTTAACCCACTGCACCACCGGGGGCTCATCCTATAGTACTGATGGCATATTAGACTTCTTTATTGTTTGTGTTCTTTTGTAGATATCTTTGCAGCGAACGTATACAGACAGAATCATGTCTGTTTGACTTTATGTTGAGAAGAGCATGCCTCTGTGAAATTCTGCTTACTGAGGCTCTTAGAACAAACAAACAAACTAAACAAGACTATTTGCTGCAAGGCTTTTTAAATGAACTAAAATGTATAAAATAAGGAAAGCTATCTAAAAATGAGATCCAAATGCTATGAATTGGCTTTAGCTGCAAGAGAGCAATTATTGCCTTGTGCCTAAAGCTTCAGTGTTTGGTAAATTGGCTGTATTTTAATTACTAGACACGCTTACCTTTTATCTTGCTTAGAAGATGTAGTCAACTCACAGCTGCAGTGGTTCCTGTGGATTCCATAGATCTTTTTAAGTCATATGAGATCAGCAGGGAATGCTGTTTCTGCTGTACAATTTTTAGTCAAGGCTTTTTAAAACAGAGATTACATGTACACAGACAATAAAAACACATGCTTGGGAGACTTAGTAGAGGAAGTATTTATCAAGAAAGTATAGGTGTACTTAAATTTCTGTTATGATACCTGGAATTGAACAAAGCTTTCTATTAGAGTTTTTTTTTATCATACTTATAGCCAGTGTCATTTCAAAAGTTTTCTAGATTTAAACAAGCTGTAAAGTTTACTCACATTCAAATTATATGTGTTGGTATATGAGGGTTCCTAGATGCTTACGTTTCTTTGGGGCTGGGGTTCTTAATACAGTCTCCCCACACTGACTTCAGATTGCCTATCTTAATTTGAATATTTTTTCTCTAAGGTGAAAATGAAATTAATCTGCCACTTTTCAAGAAGGTTAATTGTTTTTGAAAAAAAATCATTTGTGTCTTTTATATATGTAACCGTGTTATGTTGAAATATTGCTGAATGCATGTTCTTTGAGAAATGATATTACCATGTGATCATGTTCCATTTGTATATTCAAAAGCATTAGAAGTAGGTTTCATTAAAAACTATTTTCCTAATTGTTGCTTCAAGGAGGTTCTGCTTTTTCCAATAAGAATTATAAATATTCACTTATGTAATTAATACTACATTACATTTTGGGAGGAAGTATATTGGTTATAAAATTAAGGACAAGGGCATTTGATTGGTACATTAACAAAAAATAACACAAAATTGGCAGTATCAAGTCAGTCGTCAGTCAAAAATGGGGAAAAAGAGCTGTTAAACTCCTCAGGGAGAAGCTTGAGAGCCCAATTCTTGCTATCATAGTATTGGAACTGGGACAGATGTACAATCTCCTCACTTTGGGAATTCATCTTTACGGTTGTAAAATCGAACAGCACTCCACTCAAAAGGTAATGGTGATTAGGATGCTGGGAGGTGACAACTGCATCTCTGTTGTGGGTGTGGGATACATTTCGATAAGCAACTGTGGTGGGACCCTAGTGATCTCTCCAGCTCCCCGTTCTATAGAGCCCCATGACTTGGAGAGCTCTGTAATCATCTCCCATTTACCCTATCTGAAGCCCGTTGAAATACTTTGGCAGCACTGCGTGGCTTAAGAAGTATGCTTAGAGGGACTGGCATTAGCAGACATAGTTGTGAAGACAGAGGTCCTTCGTTGTAACTACATCCCATTGTAACGAGAATTTCAGCTTTGGCTTATTGCTGCATCCCAGATATCATGTACAACTTTAAGTAATTCAGAAAACCACTTTTGTAACTGTCAGGCACAGTCATGCAAAAATAATTTAAAGCAGTTTAATATTTGAGGAATTACTCAGCTCTTACAATACAGTACAGGTATGAGAAAGATCATTCTGCATTCCAAGATGGCTATGCATCTTTCAGCCCTGTATCTGTGTAGAATTTAGTATAAGAGCTGCATAATCAGGAAGCTCTACATAGTAGTTATCAGCAGCCAAGGAAATGGTTGTATTACAAATGTTTTCATTTTGAAACTATGAGCTCTTTTTAAAAATAGAATTTTAAAATGCTGACCTAAATATCCCTTTTCCCTCCAAACAGCGTGCCCTCCCAAACAAGGTTCTATCATGATTGCAGGCTTAGCAATTATTGACATTGTAGCAGCAATTGGCCTAATTTATCTCATTGTTATTGGTGGTAAGTAATTTAAATTATACTTGAAGTTCTTTCTTTAAAATCAACTAATTCTTGAATGTTCAGAAGAGAATATTCTTGATGAGTGTTGATGTGTTGATTGATCAGTAGGGATTTTTGTGGGGGAGGAAGTGGGGCTATTTAAGAAAGGTTTTGGGACATTTGAGATGGTTGACATGAGTTAAAGAAACTGGCAAGGGGTACCTCTGCATTGCTTTGTCTGTAGACATCAGGGATTTGATTGGAGACCATAACTCTCCTTTCTGTCGGTTGCCTCCATTTTTTTTAAATGAGCAAAGAAGAAACAAAAAATGTTTGATGTTTATTATTGGGAACAAAATCAGCTTGTATATTCAAGTAAGATGATATTTATGGGGTAGCTTGCATTTGGTCTAATACAAGTCATGAATTCTGTCATGTTTCATGCATATGAGAAATGTACATGATCCCATTTATGTAGCATTTATATCCAAAAATTCTTTAAATATAAAATGTGTAGGCTTTCATGGAACAAAACTTTCTCTCAGCTCCAGGCAGTTGTTGTCTATGTATGTTTGAAAAGAAACTAATTGGATTTTCATATACAAACTATCTAAAGGAATTTTATTTTATATGTGATGTTCTCCTACATGCATAAGAGTTCTCTCACAAAAGGTATAATTTAATAAGCTACCAAAGAGAAAATGAAGACTCGCTGAAATGGAATTCTATTAAGCACATAACCTGTTACTGACCTATTGATAGTATAGTATGTTGTTCATAGGCCTTCAGATCTTAAAGGGAATTATCACTTTAATTCATACTACAATTTGCCAGTCAACCACATAGCTTTCTCTATATAAGTATGTCTTATAAAAGTTAAGCCTCATCTTAAGTTTTTGGGTTCTACATGAAAACAATTGATGACTGTATGCACACATAGCTGTGAACACTGATTCTTCACTTTGTATAGAAGGGGTACCTGTGCAATTCGCATTGTGTATGTGTCTGTGTCTGGCTGTGTGTCTGTTAGTAGCAAACTTGTTAACATTTACCCCGTATCACTTTGGGTCTAACGTGATCTTGAAGCATCAGAATAGGAAATATTCACGTGGGGTGGACTTTCTTTTCTTACAATAGGGAGATGTTTGATGGTGTTTTTAGGGTTGGACTCCTGAAAAGCTGTAAGAAGTAGGTTATTTTGAGAAGAATAAAAGCTTGCATTCTGTTCTATTCATGCATCAATTGTAGGGTAGAGGATAAGGCAGAGCCACAGGCTCAAAGGTGGAAAGGAAAAAGAACAGATCAAACTGCATGGGAGCATATTCTAGTTAGCAGGAGATAACACATGGTATGCCACTCATCATAACAGGAAATTAGCAATTGTAATGTAAAACTTCAAATACAGTACAGAATAAACATGAAGACAAACCAAACAAATGTCTGCAAAAATGTACTGAATGGCAACAAGGGACTTTTTTCCCTCTAAAAAATTCTAGTTATGTTGAATTGAGCATTCATATGCAGATTGCTCAGTATTGGAAGTTAATGTGCTGAGCTGTATAACTCCTCTGTGCAGGCCTAGTAAAAGTACAAAGCGATGATGATGGCTGTAAATCTGGGCCATAGCTACGTGTATTTAAATGTGCACCCTGAAATCAATCTGTTTAAAAGTACCTCCATTGACTGAATTAAGACTTGATTCAGGTTAAATTGTTTTCATTGCATTGGGCTATAGCAAATATGGGAATTGCGTGGAGTTCTCATAGTTTTAGCAATGTCCAAGTTCTATAAGATGCTGGTAAAGAATGTTCAACCATTCAGATGTTTGCAGGGTATTCCTGGATAACCTGAATTTCCCAACAAGACAAATTATTATTCTCACCTCACAGAGCAGAAAAATTTACCCTGGCCTCTCTTTTATTATGTATTCTTGACACGCAGAGGATCTTCAGTAGTCCTTAGGTCACCTAAGCATCTGACACCTTGAGAGCCTTTTTACTACTTCTGGAAATCCACATTATTGCAATTATTTATTTAATTTAAAAAAAACCCTGAAGTCACCAGATCCTTCTTGATCCTGGAAGCCAAGATGTGTTACCTCTGGTTAGTACTTGGATGGAGAACACCAAGTAATACCAGATATTGGCTATATTTCAGGTGAAGAAACGGGAAAAAACACCTCTGGGAATTCCTTTTTAAAGAAAACATTGTGAAAGTCATAAGATTGCAATTAGTCAACTGGGGACTTGAAGGCACTTTAACATATACAACTATTAAAATATCTAATCTCTGATTCTAAATTGAACTTAATTTTGGTTTTCATTTAGTTCTAAACCTTTTTGGAATGCCATAATTATCATTTAAACTTAGCTTTGCTTAGACCATAAAAATACATTAGGCCAGGCTTTATGGAAAAAAATATTACTTTTATATTCCCCACCTGCTAGAAACTGTCCATTTTTAGTTTGCTTGAAGATATTTATATGCCATCTTTCCATTATAAATAGCAGTGCCTAAAGGGGCATTTAATTCACATCATGAAAATTGCAGCACAATAAAACAAAACTAAAACCAGCAGAAATGAAGAAATTATAGATCATAATTTTGACTGGCTGCAGTAGCCAGCTACTTACCAAAGACTGGTTCACACATCCACTTACATCATTTGATGACTGTAATTTCCATGGTGATTTGCTTGAGTGAATGAGCAATCAGAGATCTGAAGGTCAAGAGAACTCTTTTTATTTTTTTTAACTTTGACTGCTCTAGAAGGAAATGTAAATGGAGGGTGAAGGTAAAGGGTGGCCAACTGAATGTGACATTTTGATCTCTGTCTGTCTTTCTCTCAAGCACACAATGCACATGCTACAGCTTTCCCTTTTAGTAGCCACTCAAGAAGCATGATAGATTACCCCTTAGCTGAAATAAGAAATAAATGGTTCACCAGATCAGACTGGCTAGTCACCACCCTCACAGGCAGTGGTGGGCAACGGGAAAGGGAACAGATTAGGGGTATATTTACACTGTAGAATTAATACAGTTTAATATAACTTTTAACTGTCATGGCTCAAGTCTGTGGAATCATGGGAGTTGTAGTTTTGCAAGATCATTAGCCTTCTTTGCTAAAGATTGCTGTGTCTCACCAAACTCCAACACCAAACTCCAAATAGCATTGAGCCATGATAGTTAATGTGTCAGACTGCATTAATTAATAATAATGATATAATAATAAACCTTTACTTATAAACTTCCCTCTCTCCTTGAGGGGACTCAGCATGGTTTATACACAAGAAAGGCAAACATTCAGTGCCCAACTGAAATACAAATATTTAAAAATAAACAGAGTAATACAAAAATAATAACCATGGACTTGTGACAAAAGAGAAATTAACACCAAAATGTGGACCAAATATGAATAATCGAATAAATCTAATTATACTAATAAGATAAATCAACCTAGAAAATCCTAGAAAAGGCAATTAAAATATATTAAAATGGCTATCAAGGTTGTCCTTCTCATGTACCATAGCTGTACATAGATAGGTTAGCCAGCATTCCAGAGGAACTGAAATGTCCTAATCCTCCTCCTCTCTGTACGCCAAGGTGCACAAGTGTGTTTTCAAGAGTGTTTTCAAGGAGAGGAGGTTGAGTGCCATTTTTATTTCTTTGGGGAGGAAGTTCCAGAGACAGCAAGCAATCACAGAGAAGGCCTCCTCTCTCGTCCTTACCAACTGCACCTGTGACAGGGGTGAGATCAAGAGGAGGGCCTCCTTCACTGACCGCAGTGCAGCCTACATGTATCCTGGGAGACACCATGAAATGTAGATATATCCTGGGAGGCACCATGGGATTGTGAATTATTACATCCCCTAGGGGCCATGAGGGCAGGTTTTATGTTTTTAAAATGGGTGCTTTTTAGCAAAAAAAAAACCCCTTTTTAGAACTAGGCATATCAGGCATTTTGTTTTTAACCATCCTCTCACCTCCACATTTTTTGACAAAACGGTTTGGAGGACTTGAGTGGGGACATGGAGGACTTAAATGGCTTTGGATGGCTGCATGTAATTCACAAGCTGCACTTTTTCACACCTGCGAATACACATGTCTGGAATGGACATGAGCAAGGATGTTCTCAGCAAGTTCTCCTCTACTCTAGAAATCTGACCCATGGGAGGTTCGTTTGGTCTTCCTGTTGTCCTGCCACCATCAGATACATTTTTTCTATTCAATCAGGCTGTGGCAACAGACTAGCTGTTGAAAGGGCTCTTAAAATTGTGGTATATTGTTTTTATTTTTGATTTCAAATAGATATGTTATAAATTGTGTCTGAACTTTCCCTTGAAGTCAAGATGACTAAACTGAAGCTATTGTACCTTCTTCATAATATGAGAAGAGATTACTTCCATAACAGAAATAGACCAAAAATGCTTGGTAAAGTGAAGGCAATAGGAAAAGAAGAAGACCGCATTCCAGAGGCATAGACTCAACCAGGAGAACCAGGGCCCTGACTGTTCCAAGATCTTAGCAATGCTGTTGAAGATCGGGTGACTTGGGAGCGGAAGAGAGGAGGGCATCTTATTTTTCTGACTGCCGTAAGATTGAAGTTGATTTGAAGATAGTTAATAATATTGTGCATTCCAACAGTTATGAACCTGTTTGTATGCATAACTGTTTTGTTCTTGAGTGAGATATAAATTAAATGGTTAAATGGCAGCTCCAGACCCAATATATGTTCTTAGCTCTCTTCAGTAAGGGTCATTTGTTGGTAGCACCCTTGGGCCAGTTGTTCCATTTCTTCAGGTCTTTTCCTCTCTTCAAGCGTAGCAAATTAGAGTGATTTTTACATTGAAAGCAGAGCATAGACAAGATAAATTCAGAGGAAATTGTCTGAGCTGCTTGATCCTAGATTTTATCTTTTTTTTTCATTGAATATACAAAAGCTTTGTATTTAGATAGTCTTGTTGGTATGAAGGCAAGTCTTTGCAGGACTGAACCTGTACTAGTTCTTGAAATCCTGAATGGTGTGGTTTGTCAGTATTCACTACTTTTCATTCTTCCCCACCTTGGATGACTATTGTGATATAATCTCTTTAAAGATGGAAACAGACCAGAAAGCCTTCAGATAGGGCAATGAAGCTGAAACTATTTCTTGATCTTATAACTTAGTAGTAATCAGATTCATCTACTTTGCATAACCAGCAAGAAAATATCTTCTATATTTTTCTTGTAATCCTAGGTTCCAGCTTGAGAGATCATCAGCCTCCAAGGGTAAGCTTAAAATGAATGCATTTGGGGTGACTAGATGGCTCAGGGGATATGTAATGAGATGCTGAGCCTTTCACAACTGGTTGGAACCAAGTTGGTAGCAAGCAAAGTCCATTCATTGGCTATCTAGAGGATTTTAGTGATGAGACCATTCAACCTTGATTTGCCTCATTCTTATTTCAACTCTAAGAAGCTATTCCAACAATACCGTTTCTCACCTCATTCCATATACAAATGTTGCAAAATAAGGACTGACCTACAGTTTGATCAGTCATTCATTGGAACCATTAAAGTCCATCTATCGTGGGGAACAACTGTTAAACTAGGGGGAAATGAAATAGGGTTAATCCATGCAAGATAAATTCTGTGTGATGGCTTGAGCCCTGATATGGTGAGAGACTTGTTCAGCTGTGGTTTAGCTAAATTGCTAAATTAGTTATAGTTCATTTATTAAACAAATTTCAGGGGATTGACACAATGGCTGTATTGAGATGCTATGATATTCCAGAGCTCTGAAGAAACTTGTTTTACTGTGTATTACTCCATCTTGGCTCCTTCTGCAGGTGACAATGGCTAAACAAACACTCGATAGTTTGTGATACATGATGACATTAGAACCAGGAGTTCTTCTGTGAAATTGCTCGTATAGATTTGTCTGCACATACATAAATTTTCTGGAGCTACTGACAATAGAAAAAGTTCTAAGGGCTTTTGAAGTTCTCTTGCAACAAAAAGTGGTGCAGCTCCTATTGGACAACACCACAGTGAAATATTATATAAACAAACAAGGGGGAATGCGCTCGCACAAGCTCCTCCATTTGGTCATGCGCATATGGCACTGGTGTATCTCTTGAGGGAATATGCCTCCTCGCCCTTCACTTTCCAGGAGAACAGAGCATACTGGCCTATTCTCTCAGCAGGGCACAAGCTCCCAATCATAAATGGTATCTGAAATCTCAATCTGCTCGACTTCTCTTTGACTGCTGGGACCAACCTAGCATAGACTTTGCATCTCTTCTGAATGCACAATATGTTATACTTTACACCAGACTGCGCCAAGCAACTATCTCGGGATGCCTCTTCACCTGGTCCCCAGGTCTGGTGTACGCTTTTCCTTCAGTACCTTTGATCACCAAAGTTTTGACAAAGGTAATCTTGGGTCAGGTAGACTGCATCCTAGCCACTCAGTAGTGGCCTTGTCAGGCCACTCCTTCAGGCCTCGAGGAATGAGTTCATTCATCTCCCGTTCAGCCCCGACCATCTGATGTCAGATCTAGTACGCCACCCAGACCTGTTGTTGCTCTGCCTCACTGCTTGGAGAATACAGTCACCCTGTCCCTCTCCACAGCACCGAAACTAATAATCAAAACTGCTCAGAAAGCATCAACCAAAAAAAAAATCATACACCTACAAGTGATCAAGTTTTATCCACTTTCTCGGTCAATGGGGTCTCGATCCCATCACTTTTTTTTGTTGTGTCAGGAGCGACCTGAGAAACTGCAAGTCGCTCCTGTTGTGAGAGAATTGGCCGTCTGCAAGGATCCCATCACTGCTCCTACGCTAGCGCTCCTAGACTTTTTAGTCCATCTGGCTGCAAAAGGACTCTCTATCTCCTTCCTAAGATGCTACCTGGCATTTTCCTGGTACCACAGAAAAGCTGCGAAAAAAATCCTGTTTTCTGGACTCTCTCATTCAGCTCTTCCTCAGGAGGTCCAAAAACATACATCCACCAGTCACATCCCTGCCCCCTGCATGGAACCTGGAACTGGTTCTATTTCAACTCTCCAAGCTGCCATTCAAATCCATGGCTTCTGGAAACCTGGCTTTTCTCTTGTGAAATGCGGTGTTCCTTATCACAGTCACTTTATCTAGACGTGCCAGCAAATTGTGTGAACTGTGAGCAGACTTACCATAACTTTGTTCCCACAAAGATAAGTTGGCTTTTCGCATGGATGTTACCCTCCCACCAAAAGTAGTCTCCCACTTCAACATGTGCCAAGATTTCACCTTACCAGCCTTTTTCAAAATCCCTCTTCTGCCCTAGAAGTGACTCTTCATTGCTTGGATGTGCAAAATGTGCTGCCTTTCTATGTATACAGGACATTGGCTCATATAAATTCACCAAAACTATTCCTCAAATATTGCAGAGATGCTCTGGTTCAATTAGTCACCTCGCAAAGTCTTTCCTCTTGGATCACAGCAACTTTTCACCTGGCCTAACTCACTGGCTGTCAACCACCACAGGAAGTCAAAGCTCACTTGGTCAGGGCGATGACCACATCACAAGCCTTTATGCATGGAGTCCCTCTAGATGACGTTTGCCAGTTGGCAACATGGTCCACTCCTCTCATGTTTGCCAGCCACTACAAACTGGAAGAAAACTGCCTTTGGTAGAACCGTGCTTTTCTCTTCACTGGCATGACCTACCTTCCAAGGCGGGTAGCTTGCTAGTCATCCATATGTGAGATTTCACAGACAGCACGAAGTAGAAGAATTTGTTGCTTACCTGTAACCATGTTTCTTCAAGTTGTGATCTGTGAAATCCACACATCCCTGCCCATCCTCCCTGCTGTTGTCATGCATCTTGTCCTTAGCTGTTGGCCATAGCAGCTGGGGAACTGAGGCTTAGCCTTTCTAACAGCTACTTAGACTATGTGTGAAGGGTGGGCAGGGTTACCGCCAAAATATTTCATTCTGGAGATCTAGAAGTTTCCGAACTGCACCGCACATGCAAACCCATATGTGTGAATTTCGCAGATCACCACTTGAAGAAACATGGTTACAGGCAAGCAACCAATTCTTATCATTTAATTCTCTGCAAACAACTGAAGTCATAAGCTGGGGCTTGTTTACTTGACTCCATTCACAGTAGGAGCCAAAGAAGAGTAATTGGACATGGGGTACTAGCTTGTTGTTCCTAACTGATTAGCCAGGGCTAAAATCTGATTTGTCTTATCATCCAAACTCACTTGTTTTGAGACAGTCCCTTCCCTAAAAGGGAAATACTTATAGGAATTGCTGTCTTGAATTGCCTTCTGTAGAGTCTTTGGTGAAAATAGAGGAGTATAATGCTGTATCTGGTCCTATCCCGGGAAAAAGGCAGGATAGTAAATAAATAAATCTGTATATGCTTCAATTACACTTTTTACAAGGGAGATACTGGTTTAAGGCCACATCATATTTCTTTTTTTCTAATTTATGATACCTCAATATTTACAGATATTTAGATCATCTGAAGACTGAAAGATGGTTGTCAAGTTTTCCTTCCTGCAACCAACTTATAGGGTAGTCAATTTACTTACTGTTCAACTTTGGGCAGTAGGTAGTATTCATATGGTTAAATGTTCCTTGTGTCAGCAATGACCCCTCAGTTGTAGAGGTACCTTGAAACAGGCATTGGCATCTACCTTTCTCCCTTATGTGCTGAAAAGGTTGTGGAGGGGTGAGCAAGGGGCCAAGAGTATACAGGGTCCATTTACAGTTTGAAGAGCTCTCACCAGAACATGATCCACCATCTCCTTTATTTGTATTTGGTATCCAGGCACTTGGATTCCCCCCTCTCAATCTGTTATTTGATGTATAGCAATGCAGGATATATGTTTCTTGAAGTATATTTGAAAAATAAAGTGAAGCATAGATGTTTCTAATATTCCTTCACCTATCAGACCTGAAACTTCGCTTGAAGTTTCTCTTTTCCTCTGGTAGTATGAACAAATTGCAAACCGTGTTCATTGCTATTCTTTTAAAATCATGACCTCTTTTTCCCTTACCAATTTCCTGTCAATGAAGGGCAGACTTTGATCTGCCATGTAAGCTTCTTGGTTTTAAATCCATGCTGTTCTGGATTACAAAAGAAGCAGTAATGTTATCTTTTAGTTCATATATTAGATTCTTAATAGGTGTTAGGTGCAGGAACATTTTCTGAATTTCTCCTTTCCATTGCTCTTGACTGAAACTATGGTGTAGTCATGTTTTGTCTGCATCATTGCTAACAGCACTAAATTTTCAAACCTGTTTAAAAGGACAATTCTAGCTAGTGTTAAACTGGTTTTCTAAATTTAAAAGATGTGTATAGGTAAAGGTAAAGGTAGTCCCCTGACATTAAGTCCAGTCATGTCTGACTCTGGGGTGTGGTGCTCATCTCCATTTCTAAGCCGAAGAGCCAGCGTTGTCTGTAGACACCTCCAAGGTCATGTGGCCGGCATGACTGCATGGAGCGCCGTTACCTTCCCGCTGGAGCGGTACCTATTGATCTACTCACATTTGCATGTTTTCGAACTGCTAGGTTGTCAGAAGCTAGGGCTGACAGCGGAAGCTCACGCCGCTCCCCGGAATCGAACCTGCGACCTTTCGATCAACAAGCTCAGCAGCTCAGTGCTTTAACCCACTGCGCCACCGGGGGCTCCATAAAAAAGATGTCTATCCCTCAATTACAATTTTTCTGAGCAATAAAATACAGTAATAAAACATCCTCAGCTGTAAAACAGTAGTAAAAGCAGCTAGAAAGAGGTGGGAACAGTGGAAGGAACTAGTGTAACTGAGTTGCTGGATCACATGAGCTACATGCCACCTACATTTATTAGATGGAGTTGAATGGATGAGAGCCTCCATTATCAGTATCAAGATCCAGACAGACTCATGATAGGAAGGAGATGTTTTCTCAGATATATAATTGATGAGTTTTTAATCGTTGATACATTATCAAGTGGGAAGTGTTCCCACAGTGCTCACAAAATACATTGTCTGTGGTTCTCCTCTGATGCAAATTTCTTTCTTTTTTAGAATAGCCCACATTAATGTGGGTAATTAGCACTCCACACAATTAACATGTGGGCTACCCAAAATTGTAGATGGGCCCAGTGGCATAATGGGTTAAACCCCTGTGCTGGCAGGTCTGCTGACCGAAAGGTCGGTGGTCTGAATCAGGCAGTGAGATGGGCTCCCGTCTGTCAGGTCCAGCTTCTCATGCAGAGACATGAAAGAAGCCTCCCACAGGATGGTAAAGCATCCTGGTGTCCTCTGGGCAGTGTCAAGGACAGCCAGTTCTCTCACACAAGAAATGACCTGCAGTTTCTCAAGTTGCTCCTGACATGAAAAAAAAACCCACCAAAATTGTGGAGGAAACAAAACATTCCCAAAAAATTATTGACCAGTGTAATCTTGTAAGCGACTTTTTCTCTTTTTCAACTTATGCGATTAACACTGCATACCAATTTGGCATGTAATGAAATGCATTATCTTAGTTTATAGCTGTGCTTTGAAATATACCCAGTTCGCAGAGATTTTAAACTAATTCGAGTGCTCAGTTTCTTGTCCTGGTTAATTAAGCATTCTTTTAAGATGGTGGACTTGGTATTTGACAATGTGGTCACTAGTGGGAAAAGCTTCTGACACAGCATAGTAGAAAGAAATATAGATGGAATTGTGTTGGGTTTCGGAATTATATCTGCTCCTAAAATATTTTCCTGTTAATAACTTTTTACCAAAAGTAAGTTGAGTTCAGTGAGAGTTTCTTCTGAGTGTATAAAAAAATTCAGCCTTTGTGTCCTTTCTCTGTTTTAAGAAAACAAAGAACTATATACTAATTGTGTCATAATCGCTAAAACCACTAATGTGTTGAACCAATGAGCCCCAGTCCTCATACTATTGACTTTTTAAATAAAAGGAATTGGAATGGCAGGGTGGGGGTGCTTGTGGGTAGTTTGCTACTAGTAAAAGTGTTGCATATAGACACAGGCCAGTTAAATGTGGTGGTTGCCTTTTCTTTGTGTATTTCAGCCAGGTTGTACATAGAGGCTTAATACAGCAACTTTGAGCAGCAGGTTTGGTGTCAGTAACCACCAAGGAATAACTAAAACTTTTACTAAGTTTACTAATGTTCTGCTGCTGCTTCTATTTGTTTTGTAGAATCACTATTTATTGTATATATCTATTAGAATTGTTTAATTTTGGAGATCCAAGCTAGACATGAAGGCTTTATATATTTTAAATATTTTACAGAAAGCTGTCGAAGAATCCCTTAATGGTAGGTGGTAATTGAAATTTTGTACTTTATTTTAGGGTCTTGACTTTGCTGATTTATGTAGGGTGTTGACTCAGTCTGAACAGATATTTATACAAGATAATGTAAAATTCATGGCCTTAAATCATGGATGCTTCATAGATTGCTAATGGGCAATCATGGGTACTAGGAGATATTTAGTGACAGAGAAATCCTTCTTAGTTTGGACTTCTGTCCTGCTTGGCTTTCTGTTTTAGGAGAAATCATATTTTGAACTTGTAAATTGCTTTACAAAAAGGGACTAATCAACCAATCTCTTTATGAAAGAGAAAGGAGATGGTGAACTGTCTGCTGCATGGGGTGCATGGATTTCTGGGAGAGTGCTAGGTAAAACTTTCCTCCTTGTGTGTCTTGCCTTTGAATCTCTGATGTACTTATTTGATCCAATTGGCTAAGGTAAATACCCTGCTAAGACTGATGTAAATTTAAGTGGCACGTCAATGTATTGTAATTAGGAAGACATGTCAGTGATAACGCTTCACTTTCCCCCCACTATGCATGGAATTCTAGCACGCTGAAACACAATCCTAAAATCTAACCTTTACTAAGATCATTGTTCTTTATTTATTTGTTTTCTTATCTAACAACTATTTGCTTCATTTTTCAAAGATGCAAAAGGAGTGATGTTAGAATGATGGTGAGTATATTTCACCTGCATTTATTGGTCATATTTTTCAATCAGGCATTTTTCTCCTGTTGTTCATAAGTTTTAAACATAAAACTGGGAATAAATATATGGTGACCAGTCAGTATTTCTACTACAGTTCTCTTCCCAGTAGGATACAAACTCCATGCCTAGTAACCATTTTCCCTCATTATGAACTGAAAGATTTGCTTTTAAGAAAATGATAACGTACTACAATTTTATAGCCAGTGAAATGTAAACTTGCTGATTCATAGTACCAGGTTGTTTTTAGTATTATTACTACAACTCTGATAACTATTGCTAATAGTAGTAGTAGTAATTGTTATTGTTATTGTTGTTATTAACATAACCAGAATATATGCCCGAATTCCTTCAGAAGCCCAAAAGATATAGATCCCACTCCCATTTTTTTACATAGTGCTGAATTTTAAAACTCAGTGCAACAGAAATCGGTGATAAAAAGATCATATGCTTTGAACTATTTTGAAGCTATTGGAAATTTGAAGAAACACCTCTTTCCTGCTTCTACACTAAAATCCTTTGGCACATGAAGAAAGCTTAAGAATGAAAGACTCGGAGTGAACAGGGATAATAGCTGGCTACTGAGCCAAGAGAAAAGTTAGTTTGCCATTGTCTGTTATCACTTGCAGTATAGCACCTGTTCTTAAGTTTAAATGAATTCTGGTAGCTTGCTAACATTTTCTTATCTTCACAACAATTGTTTTTACTAGATTTCGACATTTTTAAAATCTCTGTTGTTTAGGTGTCTTGTAGCACAAACTCTTTGTGTATAGTCTTTGTAGCGTATTGCTGAATTGCGATGTGCATCAGCCCTAGTCAGCACAGCTAATGGTAATGGAGTCAGCAACCATCTGGAGGATCACAAGGTGTCTACCCCTGCTGTGCACAAATAACAAACATTTTCTCAGTATGGATTCATGTGTAACTAAAGTGGCACCATCCACATATAAGAAGGAGATACCAAGCAGAAACATCAAGGCTTAAAAAATGTAACCAATGTTGTTTTTAGAATATGCACACACACACACACACCCGTGAGGTGGGGGGCTTAATGGCAACTGAGTAGCCCCATTTTTATGGAATGATAGTTGAATAGAATGGATGAAGAAATTGAAAATTATGGGTATGGTAGTGACAAGACTGTTCGGTAGGAGTGAAATATTAGCCCCCCTGTATTTCCCTAGTGAAACACAGAATGAGCCCTGATACTGAGCAGATAGCAAACAAACAATAACTTTGGCCAAAGGATCTACCAAGCCTCAGCACGGTTTCCAGTACTCACAGCACTGTTTGAGATAGAGCCATATCTGAGGTCTGTGTGACCAGTAAAGAATGTATCTAGACCAGCACAGAATGCAACTAAAACATGCTTGTTGTTTAAGAGGGTGTTTCTCAGGGTGTGGCACTGTATGTAGCCGTAACATCTGGTTGTTGGTCCTGGCCACATAATATTGCAGTCACAACATTTCTAGCATAGTACAAATGACAGAGCTCAGCAAATAATATAGGCTATGGGGGAGACATCAGCTGTTTTCAACATTGAGTTGATCAGGCTCACTAAAACAGATCAGCATTCAGGTGAATCCTTATGCCAACAATAGTTTCCTGGAAGAATCCCATGGTTAGCTCAGAATTCTGAACAGAAGGATTTTCTGTTGCCATTTAATAGAAATGTACTTTTCACTCTATTATTTTTATTTGTAAAGGAAGGAAATGCAAGAGAAAACTCACATTGATTAGGCATGTTCTCATTCTGTTGAATTATGTATATTTGAAATATGTTCTGCAAAGATGTCTGTAGAACATATGTGTCTGGCAATTTCACAACTGATTACATGTTAATGGTGTAGTGCCCCATAGGCATGTTGTGTATACAATTTTTTTCTTTTTTCTTTAGAAATAAAATACTAATTTTGTTATTAGTTGACTGCAAGAAACAAGAAAAAATAATTAAGCAAATGTTCATATTCTGTGTACTTCATTCATCATCTCTGACTTACTATTTACTTCATACTTCATTGACTTTTGTTTAAACTAAATCTATTACTTGAGGATCAAGATTAATTAATCTATGACTGCAACCTAACTAGCGAGTAATTAGGTCTCAGTCATTCAAGCAGTTCATCAGTGTGCTAATCGTGAGTATTTCATCAGTTTGTTCCATGTGCAACTTCTTATACTAGGTTCAATCAGAAAGTAATTGAAATTCATTTAAACAACTTTGCCACTCCCTAGAAGTTGATGGGTATACCAGAAGTTCATAAATCCCTACAAGAGTATGAATCAGAGGTTGGAAAAGTGCAGTCCTAGTACCTATTTTGTGGGATGGAAGATTCCACACTACCTCCCAGATGTGTTTTGCCTCCCAAACAGTGCCTCCACTCTCTGAAGGACCCCTCCAATGCCTCCCCCCAAAACCCAACTGAAGACCAAACCAGAATACTGATTGTGTGGCCTGCAAGGGAGGGAGGGGGACCGCAATGACTCTTGTTCCTTGTGCAGTTACCTATCTCTGATATAAATGCATATGGTAGAATCTGACAAGCAGGTAGTGAGCTACACATGCAAGTATGGATGCTTCAGGTCGCATATCTAGTTAAAAGTCATTTGTGCTCTATCAAAATCTGCTCCTGAAGGCTGAAAAATTTCCCTGCCTGATGTTCCTAAATGCTGCCATCTGAAATCAGGAAAACCTTTCTGGTGATGAATTACTTTAAGTAAACACCGGGTACCAAATGAAAGAGCACCAGTGTGCTTTTTTCTTCTTCTAGTGGAGTTGACAATTCACCTTTTAAAGAATGGTTCTATGCTACCAATGGATATTGCAGATTTGTTGAGCTTTGTATCATTATCTAGTAAAATTTCGTTACAAATTCTGGTGCATAAAATACAAAATGTGTTATAATAGTTTAACTTTGTGTTAAAACTATAATGCATAGGCTTCACTAACAAAGAACTATAACAAGCACTAACAGCAGCACCAAATCTGACCACTTTCTTTGTAACCTGAGACTATGGACCAAAGGTTAAGATTCTAGAAGATAGCGTTTATCCAGTGTAGCTGGATTATTATTTTTTAGATAATAAGAATATAAAAACACTGACTATTGCATTGGAAGGCACGGTGTAACAGCATATGCTCACTTCCCCTTAATTGCAGCTCATGAATATATGCTATAAAGTTGTGTCATACCCCTTCTCCAAAAGTGCAAAGGTGGAATAATAGAATAGGCTGAAGGTTCTTCTGAATTTGAACATTATTGGGGTATCTAGGTAATTTACACACACACACACACACACACACACACATATATATATATAGAGAGAGAGAACATGTCCCTATCTTACAAAGTGGTATGATTCTGTGTCCCAAATTCTATGACTGTTGTTTTCACTTTGCATTTAATATCCATAGATACAGTATAACCCATTGACTTTCAGTATAACCCATTGACTTTCAGTCAAATTGGATAAAAATTGTGCTCTCATCTTAGTGAAAGAACCTTCCCCTAAACATAATCCACAGTGTTGTTTAGATGGTTCAGTAAGCACAGACATGAAAACCTACACCCAAATATAGATCCTATTAATCTTCTATCTGCTTGATCTGAATTCTAGTAAAGAGCCATACTTTAGTCTTGCCATAGTTGAAAGTTTATTGCCATAATAAATGGCATGTCTCAATAATTGCCTTAAACAAGTGCTGCTCAAACTCCCCCAGTTCCTGCTTTGTTAAATTTAGTGGTTTCAATTTTTACAAGGGGTAGTGTAGATACTGCAGTGCTTAGATAAGTATAATGTATAGGTTAATTTCCATTCATCATTAGGAGTATTGATTTTGCAAGCTTCTAATTATTTGTAAATATCTTTTCACAGAAGAGTATGTACTCTTCACACATCCCACTAAGATATAAACTTTGAAGTAACTGTACTAGATTGGTGGGTTGTTGTCCTCAGATTTAAAGAGAGAATAAGAGGGTACATCATTGTGTTAGCTGAATTGTTTTTACCACTTTTTTATTTATTTTAATCATATTTTAACTGAATTGGTGTAATAATTATAATTATTTTAATTCTATTTTAATTGTTACTATTTGTATGTTTTAATTGTATTGTGTTGTGAGCCACTTTGGGGCCCAATCCTGAGAAAAAGGAAGATGATGATGATGATAGTTCCACAAAATGCTTCTCAAAAGTATCAATTCAAAGAGACTGCTCCCCATGTAGAATCAAAATAGCAAGTTTTATTAAATAAAATCTATGTACTAATAGCAAACACAGTTTTCTGAGCACTTGCACTTATATAACCCAAACACCACTATCTGCATGCAAGATAAGAGATATCAGTAGGTAATGAAATACAAACCGCCTTTAGAGAAAAACATCCTCAGAAAAGGAAGGAAGCTGAGAGAACACTGGATATCCCTTCATGACCCCAGGATGCAGAAATTTGTGCATACATAATACTGTGAAATATGTGGAAGAAGATCACGGTGAAATACTAGCATCCCTCCCACTTACTTTCATAGGATGGGCCTATCTGAAGGACCATATTCTTCTCCATGAGCTTGCTTTGGGTTTGTGTAACTCTAACCTCTGAGCTCTTCAGAGGTGGTGGTTCTCTGGCCCTGCCAATCTCATAAACTTGTACTGTATTGTATTTTTTTGGTGCAAGCAAGCAAAGCACCTTTTTATTCAGGTGGGCTTTTAGCAATTGACTGGCTGTTGTGAAAGGGACATTTAATTGACTGGTACTGTACTTATCTCTTTGTGTGTTTTTAAATTGCTTTTTATTTCAGTGGGCTTGGATAATGTTGTATTTTGTTTAACCCTCATGGGAATGGATTTTGAAAAACTTGCACTGAGGTGCTGTTGAAATACTTTCATAAATGGATGAGAATTCCAGTTTATCTTGGAATAAAAATGCTCACCTCCACGGGAGGAATTCCATACTATTCAAATACCTTGGC